TCCTCCTCCTCCTCGTACTCTTCCTCCTCCACCTCGTACTCCTCCTCCTCCTCCTCCTCGTACTCCTCCTCCTCCTCCTCGTACTCCTTCTCCTCCTCCTCGTACTTCTCCTCCCTCAATACGTTATCTCCCACCTATTTCTTCTATAACACAAAGTATGAGTGGTATGATGAGTGATATGACAGAAAGTAGCATGATAGAAATTGCTCTTCCTGATTTTAAAACTGATTTAAATTTAACTGGTGAGTACGCAAGATACGTTGTCTATACATTTATCTTTTGCTACATACAATCTAATATAAACACAGAGAACATAAAAATTAATTTACAATTTTAATATCCAAAAGTCACTCAAGCTGTTGAGTCTCATCATCCTCCGCATATCCATAGTCTTGATGTGGAATGTAGTAAGACAATGATGACGATCCATATTGAATTCAATCGCGCTTTCAACGGCATTATTTATTCTAAAGTAAGCGTGAAACGAAACAATCTTTTACTATAAATTATAGACAATATATGTATATATATATATACATATATTGATTTTGTTAAATTTCAGGGATATTATGCGAATTCGGAATGTATATACGTAAAAGAGAATTCCGGCTTAATACAATATTCTTTTACTGTAAATTTAGACTCTTGCGGAACTCAATTCATTAATGATTTCAAAGGTGCGACTGGACAAGCATATTTGGAAACCGTCCTTGTATTACAAGTTGGTGTCGACTTAATTTTTATTAGTTTTACTTTTTATTGTCTTCAAATTTTATATTAGTTATACTTAGCTCATAAAATACAAAAAAAAAAACGAATATAATTATTAGATTTAAAAGTAAAAAGTTTTTGTCCCCAAAAACCAGAATGAATCAGGTATACAAGAAGTATGGGATGTAATTCGAAGAATACGATGTCTTTGGGAAGGAAACATTAATAAAGCTTTAATGGTGAATCTCTCAATAGATATGTTGAACCAGGAGATCGTTACTTTTAGTGGCGATACTGCAACAGTCAAATTAGATATTCAAATCGGTAAAGGACCTTTTGCACCTACAGTCGATGGTCTCGTAAAGCTTGGAGAAACTATGACCTTAGTAGTTTCTGTAAAGGATCCTGGTTTCGATCTTCAGGTACCATTGAAATCCATCTTACATATAGAAAATCAAACAATATAATGCTATTTATTCATAAATACACAAGAAATAATTACAAGCTATTGCAAGCAATAATAATTATTCGTCGTCTATTTTAAATTCTAAAATAATAAATTTTATTTAGGCCTGATTGCAAATATAAAATATGAACGAAACAATTACTTTTAAGGTGCGTGACTGTTTGGCGCGAGACGAAGCCTCAACCAATATGTTGCAGCTCACCGACGAAAGAGGCTGCATTCTGAAACCGAAACTGTTTAGTGCCTTTCAAAAGACAAATAATACGGGCAATACGGGCGCTTCTATTATCGCTTATGCGTTCTTTCAAGCCTTCAAATTTCCTGATGTTATGGATTTATTTATCGAATGTAATGTCGAATTATGTAAAATTAATTGCGATCCTTGTCCAGACACAAATCAAGTACAAAAATTAATTTAAAATATGTTACATATAATATTCATTAAATTTATCTGTCTCTTGCGCTGAAACTAGTTCTTAGTACACTCGATTAGATCGTTATGTTTTGCACATTTATAATCGTTGATAAATTTATTGAATCGTTACATTACTAATAAGAAAATCAATGCAATCTATTAACATTATTTTATTGTTATATAATCAATGCTAAATCGATATTTGAACAATATTATAAATTTACTAAATTTTGCATATTACTTACTTTTTTTATGATAATCACGGTGCGAAATAATAATTAGAATTTAATAGATAAACTTAAAAAATTAAGAAACGTTTAATTTTTATGTGGTTAATATAGTTTTTGTGTCGCCCAGCAGAAATTTTTAAGTAACCTAGCAAAATAGTAAGAAAATGTGTGTTAATATCGTAGACGCATTAATGAGAAAAATATCGAATGAGCACTGTACGAGTTTCTGTCTTTATTCGCAGACATCATCTTATACCTCAAGCTATTAGAGCATTAATACAGCTAACAACAGTACAACATTTCGACTGACAATGTAGAACTTTCTCTATCTCATTAATAAAAAGAATCATAAATCTGTCTGCCTTTCAGTTAAATAAAATATGATTCACAATACCGATGCGGTTTCGCGATACACTACTTACTACTTCCTATTAAAGTTTGGAAAAAAATTTGGTTTAAAAATTTGAATATTACAACTTATTGTATGATAATTCACAGATTCAATTGACTAGCGTTTTAGAACATTATTCTCATCATCTAGTTTATTCTCTAAATATTTCAATACAATAATTTATACAACAATGAGGTCGGTTTCAGACTTGAGGCCGATTGCAATCTCCTTATCAAATTACTGATTACTTTTGCGTAGGTTCAACTTATTTCTTAAATCGTCGAGACTTAAAAATATTCTACGGTTTCACGTTTCTTGATTTCACTTGTTTGACTGTCTTTGGTTATTTTCATTTATCTTGAGAAATCGCTTCTAGGAATTTGACTAAATTCCTGTTGCCTGCGTTTTTCGCTGAGCGTTTTTCTTTCTTTTGTTTTATTTCCTGTTTAAACGAAAAGATAGAACTTCTTTTGGTTCTTGCTGATCGTCTTCTTTCAGTACTACTTGTCTCGTTCTTGAATGTTGCTGACTGTAGATTTTGAGGTCTACTATCTGGTGAACTATCTGTAAATTTGTCTCACTTATGGCTCCTAAGCTTATGGTGTGTTTTAATTGTCCCTCTACGAAATCGTAAATTATTTTGTGATCTTTGGTTGCAAATCTTCGATCGTAAACTTCACATTAAATCGACATGCTTCGGAATCTACTCGATCCTTAATGTCAAAATTATCTTCATAAAAGGTATCTTGATTTTGATGTCGATATGTATTTATCGCTGTGGTTATCCGCATTTGTCGTCATCTACCTTTGTTTGTTTATCATCTACCTTTTTATAGGCATTTTTCTTTTTCAAATTACGCATGATTTCTCGCATGATCTCGATACGTCGTTTACATAATAAAATTTTCTATTCGTTTAGATCATTCTGGATTTCTTGTAACAATATCTCCTCATCAATCTCTAACTGCGCAATATGGCTTAAACTTGTGGATGTTTTCGAGGATGAAGCCATCACTTGTTGCTTTCGCGACTGCTTATGTTTACGTCCTACTTTTTGCTTATATTGAATATTATTTCTAACTGTCCACAAAGAATTATTTAACTAATTAAAGAACTATTAAACAGAAATATGTTGTAATGTCGATATTTATTGGACTTTTTTGATATCTCGCCAGAACTACATAGTCGATCTTCTTTCGTTCAATAACTATTTGCATTATTAATATTATCATTGATAATTTGTAGTAATTTACGGCTAATTTCGCCTATTTTATTTATTATTATTTATGTTGAATTTATGTTGAATTTATCAAATTGAATTGTGTTTGGATTAAATTGACTTGTAACTGATTTTTGCTATTATATTTAAGTAATTTATAATTAAGTAATTTATTTATATCTTCAAGAGTTTCATTAATAATTTCAAGTTGTTCATTATTGTTTTTATTTTTAACGAGTGATTCCATTACCGAAGAATTTGCAGAAATCACATTCGCCTTTTTTAAAATTTCAGTTCATTGTTTCGATTTTAATTTTCGCTTTTTAACTTGCTTTTCGTTTTCTTTTGCATGCTGTGGCTCTTCTGATAGATCCATCTCCCAGATATTTTCAAATTGGACTTTTGAAAAAGATGAGTCATCATTGACTTCATTATTTTCATCACTTTCAGAGAGTTCTTTACGTATAGCCTCCTCCGTTCCCTTCATTTTTAATGATTTGAAATAAGAATCGAGAATGTATCTTTATTTTCCATCACGTTAACTCTTTGTCGTTTCGGACTTATATCTTCATCGTTGTTTGTTTGATTTTGTATATATTCCTCGCTACTGGTGCTAATGATATCGATATCCTTTTCTGTCAAATCCATAATCATTCGTTGAATCGAAAATTTCTCTTCTTTTATTATTATAAGTTCCTCCATGTTATGGCAAATTTAATTCACAATATTTATTAGAATCTTCCTATTCCGGGCTCCAGTCGTCAGTCACTTTCAATTGTCCAGAGACAAAGATACATAATTTTGTAAAAAATTATATATTTAAAATTATCTCCGCTAAAGAATAATTAAGTTAGCCGAACAATATAAATAAAAAGTGTATTTAAAATAACGTAAGAATTTGTTGTCAAAATATTCCGTGTCAAAAGTTTCAAATCCATTAATTGCAAAATAAAATATCAACGAAAAGCCTCTGAATATCAAATCGAAGTAATGAATTAACCTTATTAACACTGAGTAAAAAATTGTTTGATATTTGTAACTATAATTTCATACTACATATAATTATGATCATGACTATTATAATATTAGTAATAATAACTATATGCATAACTCACCAATGCTTTCAGATTCCATAAATCTTTCAGATTTAACTTAATCTAAGTATCACTGCATGCTTGTTGTTTACCAAATACTAAATACAAGGATGGCATAGTCGAGGGAGTATTTGGATGGGAATCCGAACACGCTCCATTATACATAGTTGGCAAGATGACTATAATTATAAATAATATAATTATAGTCATCTTGCCAACTATGTATAGTTATTTATCTCACTGGCGAAAAATGACATATGTGATTTATCGCTTTTGAGAAGTCGAAAATGACTTCACTTTGACAAAAGATCTTTGATCATCAGCGCCGTTTGAATCTGGCATTAAATTGTCTCATATATTAGTGGATACATGTATAACTTCCCCAAACTGGGGATTGGATATTAGAGATAGTAACAACTTAATTCCGGAAAAAAATCCATTGTTAATGATACTTCATTGCTTATAATGCTCCATGTAGCAGTTGAAAGAACGTTAAAAAAATTATAGTTATAAAAATCAAACAGTTTTTCTCTTATTATTAGTGTATAAATGGATGGTGTGGTATATGTCGGTGCTAATAAGAGCTGCCAGGATTGGCTGTTATTAGCAAAAACATACCACACACCTATTTTCAATGATTTTATATCTACAGTTTTTTGTAAAATAAATATTAAAAAAGTCAGGATTACTGCTCTTAGATCAGGTTATAGTCGGTTATTATAGTCGGTTCTTATTTTAAGACATTTCAAATGTGATATTTTAAGATGCTAATACGATTTTCTGATTGGTTCATAACATTTTAAGATTGTACTTACAGATCTTAAATAAGAATCGATTATGAATATCAGCCTTAGATTTTTCTCTGGTGTGTGCGTGTGCGCGCGCGCGTGAGTATTGTGTGTGTGTGTGTGTGTGTGTGTGTGTGTGTGTGTGTGTGTACATGAGTGAAAGAAAGATTCTTTTTAAAAATATTCATTAAGATGTTTTTTAATAATTCGAGAGAGAGAGAGTGAGAGAGAGAGAGGGGGGGGGAAGGGAGAGAGATGTGAAGTTCATTAAATTTAAACATTACACGGGCACACGTACTCATATTATACATATATTCGTGCTTCGAATTACATAATAGATGCTAACTCAGCATCGCGATCTCATACACAATTAAACGCAGTTATACTTTTCTGATTTCAGAAACCTGAAGTCACGAATAATTACTATTCTTTTTAGCTGAACTTTACATCAGTTTATTTTTTCTTTTTCTCTTTAGGAGAAAAGAAGAAGGAGAAAGATAAACTGATACAAAAATTCAATCAAAAAGAACTGGCCTTATAATAATGATTCGGATTAATGATTATTACTTGAACCACTATACTCGCGATCGTATTCTTCGCAACGTACGTTCTTTTTGATTTAAGTATCTCACAATATACTCGTTTTTCGACATTCGAGTTCACGTTGTTCTTATTCGCATTTTGTGTACTTACTTTTCATTTAACAAGTAATTAAGACACTCGAGATTTCTATCATTTAACATAATGATCTTTACGCTACAGTGTCCGTTCATTGAAGATCAAGTAATTATATTGCGGTTAGACTGCGTTCAGAATCATATTCCGGATGCACACAGATATCGTTATTCTTGTTGTTCACGAATGTTAAACAAGAATAAAAAAAATACCCAAATGAAAATTTTATGCAGCCTTAGGGACTCCGCACAAAAAAAAGGAACAAGAAATAGAGAACAGAGAATAAGAATTTCAACCTATCAGAAATCATGTATCGTGGAACACAGTTTCTGATAGAAATTCTTATTCTTTGTTCTCTGTTCCCTATTATTTTTATTGTGCGTAGTAACTCCTTATAGATCTTCAATATTGCTGGAACGGAAATATAAAATGCGCTGACATCTAGTGACAATATGTAACATTTTGAAGAAAATAGTAACAAAAGGGAAATAATATATAGAAATAATATAAATATATATTTAATATAAATTTAAATATAT